TAGTGCATTTAAAGTCAACAGAGAGACTCTGCCTGAGTTCTGTGGGCTTGGATCTCTTCCAAGGGAAATATTTTCCTGCTTAAGTAACTCTGAAACAAGGCGATCTTAGGAAAAAAAAAAAGGGGGGGGGGGGAGAAAAAAGGGAATATTTCTTTTAAAAGTATGCTGTTGACAACAGAGAGCAAAGAAATCCCAGCACTGGGGTTATATTTTTAATGCTGCTTCAATCAAAAGCTTCAGAATAATGAAATACTTGCAAAATAAACCTGTTTGCATTTATGGCCTTGCTAACTATGGATGGGCAGGGAGCGGGGGAAGTGCTAAGAAATTTTAGTCCAAAGGAAACAAATAAGGAAAGCAAAATCTTTCTCAGGCAGCCTGCGTGCTTGCTAGCTTCCCTGAGAGCGGCAAGGAGCGTGGAGGCTGGGGGAAGCCCCATGGTGTGATGCAGTCCCATGCTGCTGTATTGGTGTGACCTAATTCATTGCAATACCAACTCTAGCAAAGCGCTGGAGACCTTCCAGAGCATTTCAGCGAGGACAGCATTTCAGATGAATAGAACCAAGAAGGCAACCCCACGGGAGAAGGCAGGGCTCTGCTTGGCCTTTGTTTGCTGACAGCAGCTCTCTAAGGCTCCCACGCACCCTAAATAGCTCAATGCAGCCTTGCTAATGCATGTAGTGTGATTGCGTACACACAGCAGCAGCAGGTGAATATACCTGTGGGTACGAGGATATCTCAGAAGGCTCCTGTAATCATCCCTGCAACGTAATCAGTGCTCTGCCCTCTACTTAGTGCATAATAGCTCCTTGCGTAACACCAGCACGATAATTAGTGCCACTTCAGCAGGTTGAGCCCAGACACAGCGCAAGAGCAGCCCGGTGACTCCCCTGGGACGTCTACTGGCTCCTGCGGGTGATAACCGGATGGTGTAGTGGAGGAAACCCTTGTGGTGCTCACTGGGAGGGCAGCGCTAGCCCCTGCTGAAGCACTCAATGATGGACTAAAGCTTCAAGCAACATAAGTGAAACTCAAGTCTGCAGAAGTATCGTAAGACGTTTAACTGCTAGGATTATTGCTTGGGAAGACTGTATGAGAGGTGCACTGTACATGGGCACTGTAAAGCCTGCAATCATGTCTTGATTCTCAGAAAAAGGACAGGTCTAGCATAAGCTAGATTTCATAAATCAAACCTGTATGTAGGCATCACTCCAGTGCAGTGTGTGCTTTGGCTGTGACATAAGGCACCACATTTCTGTCTGTCCTGCTGGAATATGCAAACCCTCTGACATCTTTGTGCTAAAAATAAGATGGAATTGCCATGTCCCTTAGTGTGCAGTTTGCTTATTTTTGTCTTCTACCCTCTGTTCAGAGGTGGTGGTATTCCAAGCGTGGCCAGGGCCTGTAAAATGCTCTGGGTGAACCCATACAATGTGTTTACTCAGATCTACGTCTAATTATATGGGCTGCCTGGGAGACAACTATCAGAGAGGCAGCAATCAAACCCTCACTGAAACACAATGAAACTATAGGACATGGGCTACAAAGCTGCATTTTTTCCCTTGGGTTTGGAAGGACAATCCCAGCGTTCACCTTACTGACATACAGAATTGTAGAATCATAGAATGGTTTGGGTGGGAAGGGACCTTAAAGCTCATCCAGTTCAAACCCCCCTGCCATGGCCAGGGACACCTTCCACTACAGCAGGTTGCTCCAAGCCCTGTCCAACCTGGCCTTGAACACCACCAGGGATGGGGCAGCCACAGCTTCTCTGGGCAAAGGGATCTCCTCTCCCAGCCTGTATTTAAGGTGTGGGTATCAAGGTAACAGATTGGCTATTTTGAAAGTTAGCATAGGAAATAGTGCTTTGTGACAGATAGGCACCATCTGTCTAGGACTCCTCCCACTCTCTTCCCCTTCTCTGCGACCCCTTTATGGTCCCCAAGAACTTTGTGGTCAGCAAGAGTTGCCAGTGACATAGCCCCCCATCACGGAAACCAGAGGGAAGACAACTTTGCAGTACAAGAAACTGGGTCTGTGTCCTGGGTCTTTCCCTCCTGTAGTATGGGGAAAAATAATTGTACAAGTGCAGGAGAACTTGAAAACATCAGAAAATAGTAGTTGCTCTTCCCAGCCCTGCCAGCCTCACTGCAGAGGCTTGAAGGGACCATCAGGGTGCAGTCTTGATTGTAGCTCTGGCAATCTTTCTAAGGCAGGAGGTGACCTGAAAACTCATTCAACAGAGACCAATAGCTCTCCTGCAGCTGAGATCCAGAAAAAGGTCTCTGGAGACAAAAGGCAAAGCCATCAGTGAGAAATGTGAGTAACTGTATGAAAAGTCAAAACGCAGTAGAAAATACCCACCCAAGTCCTGTGCTGCTCCCCTAGCTCCTCCTTTATCTACACCACTGAAAAGCAATGCAGTGCTGGGAAAGGGCTGGGGCCAGGGCTGGCAGGACATGAGCCAGATGCAGCAGCAAGAGGCTCCTTCCCTGGACTCCAGCTGGTCTCAGGTATGAGTGGGAAAGGGGCTGGAGAGGAGGTGCTTCACATTCAAACCCGTATTCACATTTATCCAGTTTGTCTCAGCTTCACTATCTTCCCACAGCAGATGGGATGGGTGAGTCTTTACACTGTAGAAAATAATATCCTACATGTAGTTGTGAAAGCATCCTCTCTCATTTGTCCATATCCAGCTGTCACTTTCTGTAATATACACCAGCATATGGGCAAAATGCCATTTTAATGAAAAAGAATAATACACAGGAGAGCTGTGAACTGAAATCGAGTGTGGCCTTTTGGAATAACTGGAATATCTGGGCAAGGAAGGATTAGTAGATGCTGCTCATACCACTTCTAAGGTGATGAAAACAGCAAGTTATTTCCACTGCATTGCTAAAGCGAATTACTTATCAAACATACCCTATAATTTATATACAGTGAAAAATTGCTAGAAATGTGCACGTTTTCAGAGTGCTGGTCTGACTGAAAGAAAAAAAAAACCAAACCAAAACCCAAAAAACCCACCCAAAAAGAGTTTTTCATTGAAAAAAAAAAAAAAAAATGGAGGTGCCTCACAGTGCCTGGAACCAGATTTATCTTAGAATTAATTCTAGGAGAGCTGGGGCAGGCACATACTTTTTATTCCCCTTCCAAATGGTGCTGAGCACAACAGGGCACAGCCTTTTGACAGAAGATCTGAGATAGTGCAAGAGTAAAAGGACCATAATTTGGACTGGATTTTGAAAAAAGACACTAGGGACACAGTGCCCAAATCAAATGGCAATTTTGAGACCACTGGTCCATAACATTAATTCCTAATGAAAGTTTCATATCTACAGTAGTGCAAAAGCCACCTTGCTGAAGGAGTCCTTTCCCAGTACAAAAAGTGAATAATCATGTATTTCCCTGCTGCAGTCAGACTGTTCATTTGTGGTCCAGGGATCACAGATTTCTCTAGATGTTGAATACTGTTGTCGCCAGGTCTTTACCTGTGAGACTACACACTACAAAACCCCTTCTTGTATCCATAATACTGATATAGCAGAAGGGGGATTTGGGATGCCAGGATCTGTGTGGCATCCAGCTCAGGCACAATACAAAGCAGATGCTAAATTAGAGAAGCTCAAGGTGGAGCAAGCATTTCATGAACATTTGGAAAATAGTGAGCTCAGGGTAAGAGGATAACATGTACTTATGGTGAACTACTTTAAAATTCTGAAGATACTTCTGATCAAAAAGGAGACAATGATTTCTCAGGCTTCCTGTACCCATGAATTCAGGAGTTCAGTGATTCATTTTCAGCCCAGCAGTTGAAAGACAAAGGTGTGCTAAGCTGGCTTCTTGACATTTGTGAACAGAAACTGTCTTCAACCCCACACAAGAAACTAAGTAGCTGTTCCAGATTAGAAGGAAAGTATTAGCAAAGCACCAAAGGGCTCAGCATAGGGTCTTTTCAATACCGGCAGACTTGGATGATGATGCTCAAAGCACAAGCTGCCAAATCTAGAAGGCAGGATGGATGACGTATTAATTTACTTATTGCTTAAGTGCCTCAGCTGATGAAGAAATACTGCTATGAAACAAGGATTCTTGGAGCAAGGTCTTAATACACCACAGGAGTATTTAAAAGAATAAAAGAAGTATTTTAAATTGCCATATGAAAATTTCCAAAGCCCTCAGCTAAGCACATCTGCAAGAAGAATAAGAAACATGAAACTGGGTGACCTGGCCTGAAGGAAAAAAGGGGACTCTATTCCTAATATCAGATGTGCCTCACTAGGGATGCAATACATAAGCAAAGGGTGTGTTACCATTTAGAGACCTGCTAGTAATCAGAAGACAGATTTTCCTCACAGTTTGGGTGTTTTCTGATGACTTTATATTTTTCTTTTTACCTACTGCCAAATCTTGGACTAAGGGCAGATTTCCTGTGAGACCACAAAATTATGTGTTTGTAATAGTCACTAGCTCTGGAATTTCATTGATCTCTTCCTTTATTTTTTCCTTATTTCATAAACAAAATCACTCAGCAGCAGATACCTAGATAGCCTTTTAGGATACGTGAATTGTCCAAGAATGGCGTCTCTATACCTTTTCTAGCAATTTTAATTTGTTAGTTCAGCAGAGGATATCAAAAGCTGTACAGCAGAGTCTTAATCCAGCAAATGCTAATCCATCAGATCAAGGCGAGAGCACTCTGCACCACTTTGGCCTCAGTCCTGGAAAGAGCTCTAGTCCAAAAATCTGGGTTCCCAACAGCATGGTCTTTAGGGGGGTGTTACCATCCCCACACCATGGTGTGGGCCTCCCTATGGAGAACCAGATCTGTACAGAGGTACAGATCAGCTGTGCTGCCTTCATCACAGTGGAGCTACACTACTTTGACATGAAGTAAGAACACAGGCTTGTACATGACAATTCCAGCTTTTCAAGATGAATTAATAAACAAGAAAAAAAAATCAGATACCTAAGTATTATTTGTTTATTTGACTGTGGACATGAATAGCAATGCACAGACTTTCTGTGAAGTCGGTTGTCCTCCTCCCAGAAGATGAACCAAATTGACATAATGCTGTGCATTTGTGGTGCCTGTTCTTTATTCAACAAAAATCGTATGCAAGAAGCACTGACTGATTTGAAATAAGCTACAAATAAGTTAAATGCTAACTAATCACATTAGTGATTCGGTACTCCTATCTGCAAGCACTGATTGGTTTCTGACACAGGAAGCCATGGATCACACCGTGTACCTCTAGGGGGCTGACAGGCTCCTAAAAGGGATGTTTAATACTGTCTCTGCTGTGTACACTCTGTGCGGTCACTAACAGCAGGCATGGGGTTCTCTATTTGAAATATATTCATGAAAGGCAAAATAGGAGGAAAAACAACAAAACAGCTCCTTTGAGTGTTGCAACAGGAAACTGCTGCCCATCAGAAGTTAAAGTTGTAGTGTGAGAGTATGTGCTGCATGCCTGAGCCCATGAAAGCCGCCATCAATGTGTGCCTGCACAGAGCAGGCAGTGTAGCAGGTTCAACTAGAGCTGGCATCCCTATTTCTGTCAAAAACAAGCTGTCTTCCTACAGGTGCTGTGCTCACTTGACTTGAATCTAGGCTGCAAGAGGCAGTCAGTGTTTCTGACCTGGCTGGGGCACGCAGACCCATGTGCTTGAGGACTCAGAGCATCAGCACCGGGCAGGGTGGGGTTTGAGCTGTTGGCTCAGGGTCACACTTGCCCAGCTCCAGGGTAGTGAAGAGGACATGTCCTATGTCATCCTACATGAAGGGGAGTGCAAGCAGGTCTGAGAACATGCAGCTCTCCTTCTTCTCCAACTAACAGGAACTCTGGCATTCACACCATTGCAGCCTCTCTGGTTTTGTCCAGGTACATGGGAGCTGTCCCCTGTTCCCACCAGCTCCAGAAAATCAGGCTGCTGGGCTTTGGCTTCACCATGTCTTCAATTCACATGAAACATAGATTTAGATAGTTTTGGTGAAATTACTCAAATTTCAAGGCAGCTTTTGCAATCAGAAACTCCTTTCCCTAAACACTTTCCAGCAATCAGTTTACAACAGCATCATTTATCATCATTGCTTAATGATACATTAGTAATACTTCTGCCCTGGCAGTTAGGTTGTCTGTAGGAGCCATTACTGCCCTCTGGGCAGCTGCCAGACCCCACACTGCCTGGGCAGCTCTCCAGTTTCACTCCACTTGCTTCTGAGAGCTGCTTCAGGTATTTGAGCTAAGCCTTGCCTGCTGTGCTCACTTCTAAGGCTTTATACTTTCCCCGCTAGAGTGACCAACCACTAAAATAAACCTGACATGGCTTTTTAGTTTTCCTTTTCTTTTTCTTGGGAAGCAATTTCAGCAGAATTTCACCTACTGCCTCACAAACACAATTATTTAACACAGCCTGGAACCTTAATCCTTCTGTTTGGGTTTGTTGTGGTTGTTTTTAATTTAGGTATCAATTCTGCTTTTTCTATTTTACAGATAAATTTGCCTCCAAAATCCAAATAGCCAAGTTAGCTCCTGTTATGGCAAAGGTGAGCTGCGCTGAATTTCTCTCTGCTCCCCAAATCTGGCTTTTCCCTTACTGGAGAATAACCAGGTGTCTCCTGGTCTCTGATAAGAAAGCAAGCTCTAAATCAACAGGTAGCAGTTAAGATAGGTGGCTCACTGATACTGCAACTTTCATGTTGCTTTTAATGACACGGACAGCCTTGACTTTCTGTGCTCCCTTTGCCAGGCCAAAAAGCAGCTGGGAGCCTGGAAAACCACAAATGATAAGAGGCCAGTACAAACACAGCACCTGCCTGCAAGTTTTGGCTGTGTCAGCTCTTGCAATCACAGCTGTATTGCTCAAAGGAATATGAAAAAGCTGGGCAAAAACTTTCTGACAACGTTTTCATGTCTGGAAATATCCTTTGGTCACAACCACAATGTCTGAAAATGTTCATTCTGAATAAATTTCTTCTGAAAAGCAAATGAAAATGAAGAATGTTAAGTTCTTAAGAAAGTTAAGTATGTTTCACTGTGGAAACATAACAGGCTGGAACATTTCAATTTGACATATTCAAATACTTTGAAATTAAAAATGCAACATAAGGAAATCAAAGTTATAAATGAAAAAAAAATGTATTTCAGATTATTCAATCCAGAACAGCAAAATAGTCCCAAAATTTAATATTAACAGAAACTCCAAAATTACATTTTATTATGGTTTTATTTTAAATTAGAAAATCCTAGGGAGCAGCTCTAAAGCTGGCAGTTGGTAACCTCTCTGAAAAAAATTAGGAATACATTTTTCTTTTATTGCTTTTGATCAGTCTGCTTTCCCCTTGAACACACAAGGGGACATTTAAATTGTAAGTTTTTAACAGAAAACTTAAAGGTAATTTTAGAAGGAGAAGCAATGTAAGATCAGGGTATGATTTTTCTCATTGTATTTACTTAGATTACTGAGTTAGTAAAACAGGACACCCGAGGTAAAGGTACAGCATGTCAACACATTTGAAGTATAGCAGCTTCAAACTGTCTCTAAATTACCTCCTCCTCATGGAATTTGCCTTTATTTTCCAGTGCCTGGAGAAAAAAAATGAAATTCAATAACAATTGAATTTCATTCAGTAAGTGGTAAAAAGCAATAAAATGAACCCTGCAAAATTGAACTAAGATAAGATAACTTGTATGTTAATACATTTATGGACTCTCATACTCAAGGCTTCATAGCAAAGCACCCTTTGCATAAAACATCTTAGCCGGGAAGAGTCACATCTACCTTTACCCCGAGGACGTCAGTGCAGGTGCTTGCATTGATCCCAGCAGCAGTGGAACAGCTGAGGTAATAAAATCAGCAGGCAGAAACAAAACTGGTACTTAATCACGTAACTCTGCTGAAATTTGATGAAGGCTGCTGCATGTGACCAGGTCACTAAGGGGATGCTGCAGGCAGGGACCCATACTACCTGCAAGTCATGGTATGGAAGAGAATTTAAACATTCTGAGATTTGTGCCATTTTTCATACCGCCTCCACCCCACCACTCATCTGACCTGCTGCTCTTGTGAGTTACCGTTCAGTAAGGAAGAGAGGCAAGTTGAAACATTGCACCTTCAGATGCACAGATCTGGCTGGCTGGGGAGCTGTGCACCCAAGGGATGCCCCAACCCACCTTTCACCCCGTCTTTATGGTCCTAGAAAAGCATAAATGATGAAAACCAGCCCATTCTGGTTCTTATGCACAGGCAGCAGGTCTCTCCAAGGCCCTTGTTTGGTGCTTTTCACTCCTGGGAAGCAAGCAGGGAGAGAGCCCAGCCTTCCTGGGTAGAAGGATGGTCCAGATAAAAAAAAAAAACACATTACTGACAACATCTGAGGCCTTGCAGTCAGGCTGGGAATCTTTTTTAGAAATTACTTTTAAGCCTCCAGCTTACCCCTTCCCAATGCTGCACCATTTTGCTTGCACCATGGCCGTGATGACTGCCGCCCATCCCTGCTTCACCTTGAGTGTGGGCAGGGAAAGAGCACTGAGTAACTGGACCATAAGGCAGCAAGTCCAGGTTTGGATTTTGATGCCTTACAAATTTTGCCACCTCACCAGCACACCAGGTGCTGGCTCCCAGTTTTTCTCACCCCCTTGGGTCACAGCTATTTGAATTATATCCTCCAGGTTTTCTCTGATTCACATCACAGACACAGGGAATGGTTCCTGCCCATCAGCGGTTTGGTGGGTTATGAGAAACCCCAACAGACCAAGAGACCTCCAAGGGCTGCTGCTTCTGGTACCTCTAATGCCTGACAGCTTAGTCCCTGGGCATTTCACTGCCAAGTTAAAAAATTCATTCATCACTTGAACTTAAAATAGTAGATTTTCAAACGTTAAAAATATTTCTGCATAAGGACCTACCTCTATAACTAAAACCTAGTCGTATTCAAGCCTGAAAGGGAATTCAAGTGCTTACTTTTAGGCAAAAGCAAGCCTGGGAAAATTCAGGGATCAGACAAAACCAAACCCTCATGAAAAATTATGGTGACAAAATACAGGCGTTCTAGTTTATCAGCCTGCACTCAAGTGGCTGCAGACGGCAAAAGAATTAGCCCCGGGAGACCACGAGCACTGGATCTCTCGGTTCGAGCCCTGGGATGGGAGCACCAGGATCCGCAGCCTGGCAAAGCGCAAGGCCGGCAATTCCACTGTGTGATGGCACTGCGAATGCTGCCAGAGGGCTCCTTTGCTGGTGGGGATGAGGTGAGGCACGATCCACAGCCTACAGCTTTTGCCATCGCCACAACAGGGCTCCCCCACCGGTTCTCTGCCGGTGAGAGAGAACCGGGAGCCGGTTCTCTGCCGGCGTTTCCTCCGCCGCCCCACTTGCGGGAGCGAGTCCCGCCAGCACCGAACTGCAGCCCTACCCGGAACCACCGACAGCAACGGGCACCCGGGAGCGGCCCAGCCCCACCGGGGACCCGGTCACCGAGCACAGGCAGTTCCGCAGCCTTCCCCCGCCCGCCACCTCCCTCCACTCCCGCCACAACCTTTCCGGCCCTGCCAGCGCCAGGGCCGGTGGCACGTGCCACCGCAGCGCCAGGCGCGCAAGGGCGAGCCCCTCCCACCGCCCCGAGCGCAGCGCTACTGAGTGAGTCACCGCCACGTGTGTACTGCGGACCGCGGCCGGCCCGTCCCCGCGGAGCACTGCCCCCGAGCGCAGCGCGGGCCGGGCCGGGGAAGGGTGACACTTCAACGGTGGCTCCAAAATGGAGGTGAGGAGAGGGAGAAAGGGCGGGGAAGGACAAGAAGGAGCAGCCTCGGGGTCGGTGCCAGCCCCACCTCACCGCGGGGCCCGGGACCGCAGGCGCTCCCCCCTCATGCAGAGCAGGAGGTAGGCCTCATGGCTGAGGACTGCTTTGACGGCGCTGCAGCAGACCACGCTGTTGTTCATCTGGTATCACTGCCCGTTGCTGGCCTGCAGGAGAAGACAGAATGGGGTAGGGCTGTGTCCAGGGCCTCTCCCGGCCCGAAGACCAGAAGCAACAGCACCCATCGGCAGAGCTCCGCTGGCCAAAGCCCGCAGCAGCCCAGGACAGGCAAGAGGACTCTGCAGAAGCACTTCCTGCAGTGGAGAACAGCCTGTACCCCCCATCCCTACAGTGCTCCCAACCGTGCACATCTGCTGAACACCTTCCCGCAGCCAGCAATGACCCAGCGGCACCCACCAGCCCCCAGCCCAGAGTGCACTGTGCTCACCTTCACATAACAATAGTAGTGCCCCATCTGGCAGCTGTACACAGTGTACCAGCACTGCACACAGCCCACACGTGACAGGACCCCTGCTGTTCTCAGACGTGTATGGGTGGATGTTCAGGACCTCAGAATATGCCACAGCCTGCAGAGGAACAGAGGGTGTCTCAGGGGCCTGCACAGCAGATGAGTTTCTTGCTAGAGCAGGAGCAGCTCAGGTGTCCTGCGAATCCATTTCTTAAGGGAGAGGGACCTGCTCTCCCCAGGCAGACGTCACCATGAGGAAGGTGCCAGGACGTGCTCCCAGGGCACGGCTGGGCAACGGCAGCAACGCCACTTCCCACCCTGCTGCTGGGGCCAGGAGGCAGTGCCTGCGCTGAGCTGCAGCCTGGTATCTGCTGACGCTGCGGAAACAGGCAAAGTGAGCACAAGGAAGAAGTTCATCCTCCAAGGCAGATCTCGTGCCCCAAAAGACACTGTCAGGACTAACAATGTCATGAGGGTGCAGGGTGCATGGGCATACTGGGGCCTGTACTGGGCAGGGAGGAGCTAGGGGTAAATATTTATGCCAGCTGCAAAGTTTTTCGCACCTCAGGCACGACCCTGTGCCTCCACCCTGGAGAGCTGGTGGCTTGTCTGCCCTAATGGCCCTTTGGAGCACTGGTGTGCAGTCTCTGGTGTTTACAGGTCTATGCAGCTGCCTGGTGCTGCTCATTTTCTTCCTCGTCCACTTCTTTTACCTCCGTGTGGCAGAGGCAGACTCCCAGTCTGGGTGGGCGCAGGGGGGTGACATGAGCCAGCTCTCCACGGCCTGTGAGCCCGGCACCTCCAAATCACGGCTGGGACCTGCTGCCTCCGGCTCCTCCCAGTCACAGCTGGGACCTGCTGCCTCCGGCCCCTCCAGGGACTCCAAGGCCTCAGCAGCGAGAGAAGTCTCTTCTTCTTCTTGGGTGGGATGGAGACCTCCTCCTTGACCGCTGGAGCACCAAGGCTGCTGCCTGCCTCGTGCCGCCTCTTCTTTGTGAAGGAGCCAATGATGACCGGGCTGGGCCCCTCCCTGCTGCAGAGAGAAAGGTGGTGTGAGGGGTGGTGATGGACCAGCACTGTCCAAGGGGGAGGCTGGGTGCCGAGGGGCTGGGCTGTGGCTGGGGCAGTCCACAAGGCTTTCACCACAGGCTTCCACGGCCTCACACTCTAGCATGGAACAGATCGAAAAGCCCTCCCGTGTTGTGGCTTTCCGCCTGCCTCCCACCAGCACATCAGCAGCTCGGTTCCTGCCCACAGCCCCGCACACACCCTGCGCACAGGTAGGAGTTCTCCACACCCAGTAGGTCCGGCTTCACAAACAGCTCCAGCACCTCCCGTAGGTCTCTGGCTTGCTGCAAGGATGGAGGAGAGGTCAGCGCGCAGGTTACCTGGCCAGGCCACAGCCTGGCTCCCTACCGAGACACCGGCCCCAGGAGAGCAGGAGCACCAGGTCCCCGGCCCGCTGCAGTACCCATATCTCCAGTGTCAGGTCCAGGAAAGGGACATACGTGTCCGAGACTCTCTTGCACGCCAAACACTCCATTGCAAAGGAAAGAGCAATGAGCGCACCCTGGCACACCGACCTGCACCCGTCGCCACCCAGCACAGCCCAGGAACTGCCTCCCCCTCTCCGGGTTCGAGCTCTGGGACGGGAGCACAAGGATGAGCAGCCTGGCACACAGGAAGGCTGCCAATTCCACTGCGTGCTGGCACAGCAGGTGTTGCCAGGGGGGTCATTTCCTGGTGGCGATGTGCTGGGGATCTACAGCTGACAGCTCTTGCCGTCACCACAAGAGGGCTCCTGACCCACAGGTCCCACGGGACTGACCATCTGCAGCTCTGGATCATGTCCATGTGCTCAGTGATTTTCCCAAAGCATTTTAACTGCAAGGCTCCTGGCAAAGCAACAGCCCCAAGTGACTGCAGGCCCAGGGCCTGGCACCGAGCACTCACCGTGGGATCGCAGGTAGCCACCAAAGATCTGGTGGACCAGTGTTGTTGCCTGGGTCTTGCAATCCAACCTTGAAACAGCAGCACCGGGTCTCACACCGTCCCTGCCCTATGGCCGTCCTGCCACTGCCACGGTGTCCTCAGCACAAGCTCGTGGCTGGAGCTCAGAGCTGGGCACTGCAGGGGCAACACAGCTTCCTGGGGCAAGGGCCCAGGAACACAAGTGCTGCCTGGGGAACACACTGACCCCACAGTCCCCTCCAGCAAGGCAGGGAACCAGCGAGAGGACAGCAGAGAAGAGCAGGGACAGCCCATCAGAGGGATGCCCCACGTACCTTTTGCAGCCACTCAGGCAGGACTTCTGCATAGCGTTGATGGTATAACGCAGGAATTCATGCACATCCTCCAGCTGTACAAAGCGCATGTGCCCAGTGATCTCTTCAGGACAGGGACGAATCAACCCCAGCACATGCTGTGAGAGACAGACCCGACCTCCTTCAGTGGCCCCAGGGTTTGAGCCCCCTCAAACCAAAGCAGACAGCAGACTCATGTCAGCCACAGGGGAACCCCACACACAGCCCATGAGGTCACCATGTCCCTGCAGGCTCCGTGCGTTCTCCTGGTCTCATCTCAAAGGTTCTGCTCACACATCACTCCCTGCTCTCCAGCATGGCTATGGGAGGAGGGGAAGTACAGTGGAGTCATTCTTACCCTTGAGGTCTCGGAGAAAGGCTGTTGGCTCTATCACGCTCCCACTGTTCTCAAAAGCCTGAGCCACGTGGTTCTGCATGATGCATATCATGCAGAAGCTGCCTTGGTCACCTGTGGCAGAGGAGAAGATGACAGGAGGTTGGGGACAAACACAGTAGAGGTCAAAACAGTACAGGAGACGGGGCAGTACAGTACAGGTCGGAGCAATGCCCACCCCATTGCCTTTCAAAGCCACACATCAACAGCATCTCCTGCCTGTACGCAGCCTTCTGCCCTCATGCAGGCAGGGGCTGTTTGGGACGTCCAGTTCAGTCCCCACGAAGCCAGCAGACCCCGCGGGAGCCATCTTAGCCTTGGCTACAACCACCATGGACACAAGTGTCCCCAGACACAAGGATGTAAAGCTCAGGGATGCTGCTATGGCTGGGAAAAAGGAGCTATACACAGGAGCAGCATCTCCATGGAGAAGTGGCAGGAGGGAGCAGAGAAGGTTCATCCTGACACCCACATGGCCCTTGCCAGAGCCACGTGTGCTGAGATACTGAGCCCAGCGCGGGGAGCAGGGGCCTGCCAGCACAGCCAGCTGCCGCGCCAGGCCCCACTACTCACAGGTGCAGCGGTGCTCCTTGGAAAGCAGGTAGTTGGGGAGCGGCGGGGTGTACGTCAGGCACTGCACAGTGGAGTTAAGGAAATGTGTTCCCGAGGTTACGCAGTCCCACGCCAATTGGGAGCACCCGCTGCCACTCCATGGATAGGCGCTCCATGGGGAAGAGCACCTTCTGGGGCAAAGGGATCCCGTCCCTTGGGCCCACCTGGGCATCGCTGCTCTCCATAGGATGAGGAATGGTGGGTGAGCTGTGCAGTGTGAGCTGCGGTTGTGCCCACTGAGCCCCCAGTACTTACTCTGCTTGACCTGCTGCTCCTCCTCGGGGCCGCACTGGGGTCCGGCAGCCTTGGCAGGGGAGTTCCTGCACCCTAACTTGCTGCAGATCTTCTGCAGCTTCTTGAAGAAGCACCAGTAGGGAAGTTCACTCTTGGCCTTCTGCGGCAGCACCTTCTTGGCAGCCTGAGCCAGCAGATTGGCCACCTTCCCTTTCCCGCTTATCTCCCACCGGGCCCGCTTCATCATCTTCCGCATCTTCTCCATGACCGGCATGGTGAGGCCTAGCGGTCTCAACTGCAGGGAGAGGCAGGCAATTGAGTGGGGGACACTGGGCCGTTCCTATCGCAGGACCGCGTGTTGCCAGCAGAACAGCACACGGCCTGGGCTGGCCCTGCCACCACGGCAGGCACCAGCCCGACACCAGCCCAGCTCCGACCTGTGTTTCCCGCCTCACGCCCCTGCACACACTGCACAACGTGCGCCAGATGCACGTGTCCTGAAGAGCAGGCGCTGCTGTTATCGCATCCAATGAACAGCGCCCAACCCTCGGGGTCTGGCCAGCGACAGGCGCCCAACCCTCAGGGTCCGCCCCGTCAACCGCTTCCACCCCTCGAAGTCCGCTCTCCGCGTTCCTCCAGTCAGCCGCGTTGAACCGATGACTCTGCCTGATCAACCGTGTGCTGAAGCCGCGGGAAGGAAGCTTATGCTCCGCCTCCATGGCCCGCCCAGCTCCGGGCGAGAGAGCTGAGCTAAGGTTGTGCCTGCATCGCTTATATAATGCCGGGGGACAGTGCTTTGACAAGCGGGCTTTGTGGTGTGCCTGTTGCTGCCTGGTGCTGCTCATTTTCTTCCTCATCCACTTTTCCCTCCTTGCGGCAGAGGCAGACTCCCAGTCTGGGTGGGCACAGGGGGGTGACATGAGCCAGCTCTCCAGGGCCTGCGAGCCCAGCGCCTCCCAATCACGGCTGGGACCTGCTGCCTCCGGCCCCTCAGGGACTCCAAGGCCTCAGCAGCGAGAGAAGTCTCTTCTTCTTCTTCTCGGGTGGGACAGAGACCTCCTCCTCGACCACTGGAGCACCAAGGCTGCTGCCTGCCTCGTGCCGCCTCTTCTTTGTGAAGGAGCCAGTGATGACCGGGCTGGGCCCCTCCCTGCTGCAGAGAAAGGTGGTGATGTACCAGCACTGTCCAGGGGGGAGGCTGGGTGCCGACAGGCTGGGCTGGGGCTGAGGCAGTCCAGAGCAGGGGAGCCAGATGCCGAAATCACCCCGAGCCGGCGCCGAGGCCAGAGGTGCCTCGACGAGCCCCCCAAGGCTGCAGATGTCCTGGCCACAGCGCAAGAGACGGGCAGCGATGGGCACTGCTCACCTGCACGTGCCCAAAGGCAGCAGAGGCGAGCTGGGGCAGCTGCTGTTCAGTGGGAAGCTGCTGCCAACGGCTTGCGCGCGAGGCCGTGCGTGGTGGTCACTCCTGTGCAGCTTCCTGCCCTGCGGGGACTGACACACATAAAGACTTGGTGAGCTGAAGAAAAGAGGTTTCCATCAGCCAAGAGGGGAAAACCAAAAGGGGAGCCCAGGCACAGGGGGAGGGAAGCAGGGTGGTGGAAGAGGAATCAGAAGTGCTTTTACGTAGGAGCACCAAGGAAAAAAAAAGCAAGGAAGTTTCAAGACCTGAAGCCCCTGTGCCCGGTGCTGAGACCCGGCTGCACCGCTGTGCCCAGAGGGCAGCTCTGAGCTCTCCTGCTCCCACTCGCCCCAGGGAGGGCTGGCAAGGCTGCCCCGTGTCCTCAGCAAGGCAAGAACCATCTCTCCTGCATCACTCATGGGAACAGCAGCAGCTCTGCCCTCCCTCCACAGCCTGGGCTGGGGCTCTCTCCACCCTCTCTGGCCAGGCAGGATCCCCAGCACTGGCTCTGCACTTGCTGCCAGCATGAGCCTTGCTTCAGAAGACACAAGGCACCTGCTGAAGGCCCCAGGCAGAAGCTCAGGCTCACCTTTCCGGCAGAGAGCGCCAGCTTCTTGGCCGGTGGTGGTGGTGTGCTGCTGCTCTGCCCACAGCAGCACTGGCCAACCAGGGCGATTTCACCTTCATGCGCCTGATGGTTGTGGGGGCAGCCGGCGTGACACTGGGGACGTCGGTGCCACAGTCTGTCTCCCAAGAGGTGCTGGAGCTGCTGGTTCTGCTCCCGGCCTCCTGGGAAACTGTGTCCAGCTTCCCCACTGCAGCAGGCGCTGGGCTGGCAGCACTGCCGCTTCCCGAGTCCTCCCCCGAGTCACAGGCTCTATGCCCAGTGCTCCCAGGCTGCTGGGTGAGGCCCAACAGCACTGGGGATGTGGCCTGGGCAGGTAACGTCCTTTCCTCCCAGGAGCTCTGCTGAGGATGATCTGCTTCAGCTGAGCTTGCTCTGCTGGTGATGCTGGAGCCCAGGGGTGACGTGGACCTGGGAGGCTCTGGGCTCTGGGCTGTGGCACTGGGCAGCACTGTGCCCACACAGGTGGCTTTGAAGGCTGCTTCGGTTGGCAGTGATGTAACGGGCAGCTTCCCTGGGGAGGGGCTGTTCCACAGCTCTGGTTCCATACCCAATGTGCTGCGGTCCATGGGAACCCCAACCACCTCCAGCCCTGGTGTCCTCTTCTCTGGACACTCGCTGCGACTCTGGACAAAGAAAGAGGGAGAAGTTCAGGGAGGAGAGAATTCAAGGACCCAGGGGCACAAAGTGATCCTGCCCTCGGGGCCACACAGGCGCCCTCGACTCAGCAGGATCCCTCCTGCAAACAGCTTGCTCCCGTCCCGGCTGCAGGAGAGCAGCCCAAGAGGCAGCAGCTCCCAGCTCCCATGAGCACTGCCCAAGAACAGCCTTCAGGACACAACCAGTGATGGGAACAGGGGCCTGTGGCTCACAGTTTTCTTTGCCTCTTTGGAGACGATGCCCTCAGAGCCAGTCAGCTTGAAGACAGCTCTGGCAATGGGCCTGTCCAAGCTCTTCTCTGGGCCAGAGAGTCTGGAAAAGAAGGACAAAGGTTAACTGCGAGTGTTTGACCAAATGGAATGCTCTTGATCAGAGCTGCACCTGAGAAGCAGGAGTCAGCAGCTCCAAGGAGGGAGATGCTCTTCATCTACAGCAAAACCATGGCAAGGGGCTGGACCTCTCCTGCACGTGGTGCCAGCCCTGCCCTGCTGGGGGGCTGGGGGCCACAGGCACTCCTACCTCACATAGAAGAGCAGGTAGGCCTCCTGGTTCAGCACCGCTTTGATGTTACTGTGGCAGACCACGCTGTCGTTCATCTTGTACCACTGTCCGTTGCTGGCCTGCAGAAGGAGCAGAGAGAATGGGGTTGGGCTGTGTCCAGAGCCTCGCCTAGTCCGAAGACCGGCAGCAACAGCACCCACCAGCAGAGCTCCTCTGGCCAAAGCCCACAGCAGCCCAGGGCAGGCAAGAGGACTCTACAAGAGTGCTTCCAGCAGCAAAGCACAGCCTGACCCAGCAGCTCCCAGCCCAGGGTGCTCTGGGCTCAACTTCACATAGCAGTAGTAGTGCCCTGCATTGCAGCTGTACCCAGAATGTACCAGCACTGCATAGAGCCCATACATTACAGCGTCCCCCTTGTTTTCTGACAGGTATGGGTGGATGTTGAGGAGCTTGGGGTACGCCACGTTATGCAGAGGAAGAGAAGATGTCTCAGGAGCCTGCACAGCAGATGGGTTTCTTGCTAGAGCAGGAGCAGCTCAAGTGTCCTCATGTCCATCTCCCGAGGGAGCAGGAGCTGCCCTCCCCAGGCAGAGGTCACCATGATGAAGGTGCCAGGACAAGCTCCTAGCGTGTGGCTGGCCAAGAGCAGCAGGACCACCTCCCACCCTGCTGCTTGGGCCAGGAGACAGCCCCAGCTCTGCATTGCTGAGCACTCACCTTTGTGACTTTCTGGCCACCACAGAAGAAGAGCCGCTTCAGTGAGAGTGCGAGAACGTTGGAGGCTCAGTGAATGCTGAAGCGTTTTGCTGCCGACACTGTTGTTGCATCTGCACAGGAAGAGCTGTGTCATTCAAGCTGTTCCACCACCCAGATGATTGCAAGCTCTGGCCAAGTGGCAGACCCCATGGAAATGACCTGGCAGGCACCAGGCACCTGCTTATGGCCACGTCCGCTGACCCAGGTTCTCCTCATGAGAGGAAGGAGCTGAAGAGCGGCAGCTTTCACCACAGGCTTCCACGGCCTCACACTTTAGCATGGAGCAGGTTTAGAAGCCCTCCCATGTTGTGGGTTTCTCCCATGTTGTGCTGTTTCTGACCAGCGCAGCCGCAGACCCATTCCTGCCCTCAGCCCAACACGCTCCCTGCACACAGGCAGGCATTCTCCCCACCCAGCAGGTCTGGCTTCACAAACAGCTCCAGCGTCTCCAGGAGGTCTCTGGCTTGCTGCAAGGACGGAGGAGAGGTCAGTGCATGGGTGGCCAGGCTAGGAGACAGCCTGGCTCCCTGCCAAGACACCGTTCCAGGGAAAGCACAAGCAGAGCATCTCCGCTCACCGTAGTACCCTGATCTCCAGCGCCAGGTCCTGGAACGGTTTGTAAGTGTTCGAGACTCTTGCACACCAAACACTCCACTGCAAAGAGCAACGAGCACACTGGCACAACAACCTGCACCCGCCACCACCCAGCACAGCCCGGGAACCGCCTCCCCCTCTCCCAGCTTGAGCTCTGGGATGGGAGCACCAGGATCTGCAGCCTGGCACAGAGGAAGGCTGGCAATTCCACTGTGTGCCAGCACAGCAGGTGTGCCAGGGAGTTCCTTTACTGGTAGTGATGAGATGAGCTGGGAATCCACAGTCAACAGCTTTTGCCATCACTACAACAGGGCTCCTGACCCACCAGTCCCATGGGACTGACCATCTGCAGCTCTGGATCATTTCCATGTGCTCAGTCATTTTCCCAAAGGATTTTAACTACAAGGCTGCTGTCAAAGCAGCAGCCCCAAGTGATTGCAGCCCAGGGCCTGGCACCAAGCACTCACCACGGGACCCCAGGTAACCGCCAAAGATCTGGTGAACCAGTGTGGTGGCCTGGGTCTCGCTATCTAACCTTGAAACAGCAGCACTGGGTCTCACACTATCCCTGTACCGTGGCCATGCCACAGCCACCAGGGTGTCCTCAGCACAAACTCCTGGCTGGAGCTCAGAGCTGGGCACTGCAGGGGCAGCGCAACTTCTCAGGGCAAGAGCCTAAGAATACAAGTGCTGCCTGGGGAGCATGCTGACCCCACAGTCCCCTCCAGCAGGGGCAGGGCACCAGCAAGAGGATGGTGGAGAAGGGCAGCAACAGCCCATCAGAGAGAGCCCCCATGTACTTGGTGCAGCCGCTCAGGCAGGACCTCTGCATGCCTTCAATGGTGTAAACGCAGGAACTTGTGTGCATCTTCCCGTTGCCCGAAGTGCATGTGCTGAACGATCTCTGCAGGAGAGGGAGGAATCAGCCCCAGCACATGCTGTGAGAGACAGCACCCCACCTCTCTTGGGAGCCCCAGGGGTTGAGTCGCCTCAAACCAAAGCGGACGGCAGACTCATGTTGGCCATGGGGGATCCCCACACACAGCCCATGAGGTCACCAGGTCCTGGCAGGCTCTGTGAGTCACCTGCCCTCATCTCAAAGGTTCTGCTCCCTGCTCTCCAGCTCAGCTACGTGAGAGGAAGGGAGCGCAGTGCAGCCATTCTTACTCTCGAGGTCTCAGACAAAGGCCATAGGCTCTATCATGCTGCCGCTGTTGGGAAAAGCCTACACCACATGGTTCTGCATGATGCATATCATGCAGAAGCTGCCTTGGTCACCTGGAGCAGAGGAGAAGAAGACAGGACGTTGGGAGCAATCCCAGTAGAGGTCAAAACAGTACAGGAGACAGGGCATCACCAGTCCAGCGCAGCTTAGTTTTCCCTATGAGCTCTGTGCTACAGTCCAGCTCTGGGGCATCTCGAGTACACAAGGACCAGCACATGTCACCCCCTCTGGTGCAGCCATAGTCACAGCACCACCCAGACAAGACAGCACCCAGGCAGATGGAAAACACGTCACAGGTACTGGCTGGAGAAGCTCACAGGTCAACCCTGAGGGACAGACGATGGGGCCACAAGCCCTGCTGCTCTACTTCCTCACACCTCGGAGCGATGCCCATCACATTCCTTTTCAAAGCCACACATCAGGATGGATTTCACCAGATCCCATGGACTTTTGCACGTTCTGGTTCTTAATGTGATCTTGAACCTGATCCTCTCTTACAGTGGGCCTAAGATCTTCCTTCTCACTGTCCCTACATCTGTCTCCCAAGACTTGGGCAGTGTGGTGAGAGCATTATGATCAAAAGATCATAAAAGGCTGAATCTCTTTAACCATGTGATAAGACAACTGTTACTGACTATGAGCTTAACTCACAGTTTCCTTGAATTTGTGAGTTTAACTTGGAAGTGGAAATGCTTTGAATGTGTTTTTGCAGAAACATGTGCATACTGGAAAGAAAAAAAAACATTTAGTGGGAGCTGCCAGTATCTGGCTGATAACCCAGCATATGGGGTATGTTGGAACTGAATCACTCTTGCACAGTAAATTTTTGGGGGGTAAAAGAGGGCAGAAAAGATGAACTCTATTGCGACTGACTATGTTATGTGAGTCCATGGACAAGGGCTTTACTTTTGATGTACATATATTTGGCAGTCATCACTGAAGATTTATTTACAGGGTGTCATTTGAGGTTTGTCTGATATACCCGGCAAAATACTCACAAGGTTTATTTTGCTTGGGGCTTGCTCTTTCCACGTGCCTTCTTTAACTTTTTTCAGCTGCTCGGGAGAGATTTCGTAAGCTCAACTTGTTCCTATGTTGTACTGGGTTTGAACATTTCAGGTGTTCATCCCTCTACTGCTCCCTCTTAAGCCTTGCCTGACTAAGCAAATAAACAGGAGGCTTACATATATTCTTATATATGCACATGCTAAAGAAAATACACAATAATTCACCCAAGACCACACCACCCTCCTCCTGGAGGCTCGCAGACCCTTCGGAGTGACTGTGAGCTTCCTGTCACTGAAGGTCCCCTGATTCCTGCAGCATGTTTACCCTCAAGGAGAGGTTACAGGTACTGGGTGTTACTCTAGGTCTGCTTCAGATGGTGTAAGGCAGAAGTGTTTGTGTCAAGGATCTAACTCGAGAATATAGCCTGACAGACAAGGAATTTGAAACCTGTCTCAGATCTGATTTCAATTCTTCGTTTGAATTGTTTATTCCTTTGTCTCACTGTGTATTATTTCATGATTTCCATCTGCAGCTTGTTCTTAAATCAGTGAGTTCAAAAACTGCTTGTATTACACACTTGATGAATGTTTCTCATAAAGTTACATTTACAGTTGTGTAGCATGTAAGAAATCAGTTGTTCTCACTTTTAACATGAGATTCCAGTAAAAGCCAGTTGGGCACACAACATCCGTCAAAAAATGCCTTTGATCTCTGCTGGCTAAATCAGTGATATCAGCCTTTAGGGACTAGTAGGATCCTCAGAGTCACAAAACCTTTGTAAATAAAAGCTAAGAACTGTATGGTGATGACATGGTCTGTTCTTGC